CAGCAGCAACATGAAACAGGTCAGCAGCAACATGAAACTGATCAGCAATAACATTGAAACAGGTCAGCAGCAACATGAAACAGATCAGCAGTAACATTGAAACAGATCAGCAGCAACATGAAACAGATCAGCAGCAACATGAAACAGATCAGCAGCAACATGAAACAGGTCAGCAGTAACATTGAAACAGGTCAGCAGTAACATTGAAACAGATCAGCAGCAACATGATGTGATTTTTTTCCCAGTGATTATTCTGGGGTTTTTTTGTGGGCCGTGGTAGCTCGGTGGTCAGCGCTGTTATCTCAGAGTCCTGACGCTTCAGGTCCGAGTCTAGTTTGTGTGAGGGGCCTCCACTGAAGAACTGTTAGCGCTCTGTGGAGACTTCTGCATGAAGGAGCAGCCCAAAGAACAACTGCTATTTTCAGCTTTTAGGTAGCCTTTAGCTATTTTTAACTAGCATTTTGCTACTTTCATCCAGCTTTTAGTTAGTGTTTTGTTTGTTTCAGCTTTAGAGGCTAGTTTCATCTTGTTCAGCGCTCACACCGTATTTACAGTTTTGTCTGGTTCCACCTGAACCCAGCGAGAACTCAGGCTCTCCACTGGACCTGACGGGTTCTGGGTTTATTTTTATTTAAATTAATCATTTAAATCTTCTCTGATCAATGGGAAATCATCTTTTCAACACGTGAAATGTTCTGCTCACTGATGCAGGAACAAGTTCACAACAATCAGATTAAATGTTTAATTTTTCACTAAGTAAATAAAACTGATACATTTTTACTGTTCACCGGTCGGTCTACGTTCCTCCCCTCCCCTCTGGTCATGAACTCTGGTAGAGACTGAAAGAATGAGATCGTGGATCCAGGAGGTTGAGATGAGTTTCCTCTGCAGGAGCTGGACTCTCCTTAGAGACAGGGGGAGAAGTTCAAAATATCCTGATGCTGCTCAATAATCCAGGTAGAAAAATCCAAAAAAGTTCAATCTGGTCCTCTGGACATTCAAAAAAACCAAAACAAAGCAAAAAAATGTAGAAACGTTTCGTCTCTCATCCAAGAGACTTCCTCAGTCTGAGGTGCTGTATTCAGCTCAGTCTCTTAAATAGCACCTTCTCAGAGTGGGGGAGAAGTTCAGTTATCAGGAGAGACTCAGAGTAGAACCTGCTCCTCCACATCCAGAGGAGACAGTTGAGGAGGTTCATCTGGGAAGGATGCCTCCTGGGCACCTCCCTAGGGAGGTGCTTCAAGCATGTCCAACAGGCAGGAGACCCCCGGGGAAGACCTAGGACACGCTGGAGAGACTGTGTTTTGGTTGGTCTGGAAACACCTTGGAGTTCTCCCAGAAAAGCTGGAAGAGGCTGTGGAGAGAGATGTCTGGACCTCCCTGCTCTGATGCTGCCTCCGAGACACGACTTCAAAAAATAAGAGGAAGATAATGGACGGATGGTTGGTTGGATGGTTGGTTGGATGGTTGAGTTGTGTTTTCTGATCGGGACTGGTTGGTTGGATGTTGGTTGGATGGTTGAGTTGTGTTTTCTGATCGGGACTGGTTGGTT